AAGACCCTTGGACTGGGCAAGATTTTCAGGATACAGTCACAACTATTAAGAAAATTTTGAATTTTTTTTCAAAATAAAGTTAGCAAATTTTAGAATGAATTCTAGAGATAACACCAAGGTATTTCAGAGAATACTTGCTAGAGAGCTTTAGGAAAATCTCAGAGTTTTTAATAGAACTCCCAAGAGTGAAGAGAGGATTCCGGAAATTGTGAAAAATACCAAGGGAAGCAAATTTTGAGGGTACAGTTCCAAAATAACTCTGCGAAGATCTATAAGGAAGTTCCGAGGTTAATTCCAAGTGCATTTCGAATGGAATTTCTAGAGAATTTCAATAAAAATTCCATGCAATTTCCAGAAGAATTTAGAAAGAAGTGCAAGATAATTCTGAACAAAATTTGAGGACAATTCTCGGCCACAAAATTTCCCCTTTTCAATTGTTGGTCGAGAGTATGAAATTCGAAATGAATCCATGGACGAGTTTTAAGAATTTTTTGAAGTGTTTTACTGGGAATTTCTGGACTGTTCTAAAGACATTTTCAAGGGACATTTATTATATAAGGATTCTTTAAAGAACTCTCAATCAAACAAAAGCCTGTGAAGCTTTGAGCGAAGACTTCGGACACGTTTGCAGAACCAAATTCAAGATCCAGAAAAGGTGCTGTTGTCTTAAGGGCTGAATTCAATGACAGTGACATAGCGGTACAGCGGCAAACGCGCAATGTACTAACATTGCGCTAACCGCTGCAGCTTTGCCGCATTCCTACCCACAATGCATGTGCGCAAAATCTATTGATTTATCCTCTTCCGATGTCACGAAACCACGAAAACGGGATAATTTTGATTGATGAATTTACGTTACGGTCGACCAGCAGATGGAAATGATAATGACGTTATCTTACCTGTCAAATCGTATGGAATATTTTTTAGTACGTCACTTTTGTGGTTTTGGATATCAAACCTAGGTGTCGCCTGCACTGGTGCTTGTATTACATACTTTTAATCATGGAGCTGTGTGATATCTTTGAAAAGTATACGTTTATCGGAAATTGTACACTTTATCATGATTTTCGTATGGTTTTGTTGATAAGTAGAGTCGTTTCTTGCACTTGCAATCAGTTGAAGATCTTCAAACTAGCTAACCGTCATGAAGTCGTCCGGTTATTTGAATCATCTCTGATTCAGCTGACATAGTGAAGAAATATATGAGGGATTATCTGATTGATTCTTTAAAGTTCAGTGATCGTCTCTGAAATTACATTAACTTCAAAACATTTGGGAGTATTTTTAAGAAGTACCATGAACCGTGGGGAAATATCGAGAGCTCCCTAATATTTTTTATGGTTATTTTGCTTAACGACGTGTTCCGGGTATCATACAAACCATTTGTGGAATAGTTCTATCATTTGGGTTATCCTGTTTTTTTTATTAGGGCTTCGCAGAAGAATTCTGGATCAACAATAGAAAAGGGTCCATCAGCATTTGTAAATAAACCATTCCAAAGCCCTTTACTCACGAAACGAAGGCCACCCACGCAAACCAACACCATCATCAGATAGGGGAAACTTCTACCTACACGATGATGGTGTTGGTTTGTGTGAGCGGCCTTCGATTTATGAGGAATGGGCTTTGGAACGGTTTGTTTACAAATGCTGATGGGCCCTTTTCTATTGTTGATCCAGAATTATGAATATTAGGTAAACAAACTTCGAGAGCTTAAGGAAGTTCCATCAATTTTTGGGAAGTCCTGAAAACTCTAATTGATTGAGAAGTTTAAAGCATTTCGGGGAGTAACGATATCTTTAGAGAAGTCCCGAATATCAGGAAAGTTCAAAGATCTTCAAGAGAATATTCAGACAACTTCGTACATTTCAGGAAAAGGTTGAAAATTTCATCGAAGATCTAGAGTAGTTTTAGGAGAACTTCAGAGCAGTTCTGAGGAGAACTTCAGAGTAGTTCTGAAGAGAATTTCAGGGAATTTCTGAGAACTCCAGAGAACTTCCATTACACACTGGGCCAGAAATGCAATCTAGCGGAGCAAAATTAATGACTACGAAACTAAGCATTTCCGCGACTTAATGTCTTCGGTACAGTTTCTTATCATAATAAAGACCATATATTGACATAAACAAATAGCTCAAAACTCTTCCGCAAAGATGGCGCCACAATCTAACTTCTTTCTCTGAAGTTTTGGAGACTTGATGTCTTTGGCAAAATTGTTAACCTTGACAGAATAAACAATTCTTTTGAAGACATAAATTTGAGAGAATAACTTTTTTCAATGCATTTAAATGGCGTTTTGAAGACTTGACGACCTAGGCAAAAGTTGTTTAACTTGATAAAATAAACAACTCTTCTGGAGAAGTCAAAACTCCGTAGCCTACTGTTTTCGAAGACATCAAGTCTCCAAAACGTCAGAGAAAGAAGTTAGATTGTGGCACCATCTTTGCGAAAGAGTTTTGAACTATTTGTTCATGTCAATAGATGGTCCTTATTATGATGAGAAACTTTGCCGAAGACATTAAGTCACGGGAATAATTCGTTTCAGAATTATTAATTTTGCTCCGCTAGATTGCATTCCTGGCCCAGTGTGCATTGGCCTCAGGAAAATTTTGGGAAATTTATGAAACTCCCCGGGAGCACCCGGAACATGTCTGGCCAACGTGTTCTTCAGTACTTAATATGGCCAAAAATGGTAATATTTTTTAATTCTCATGTAATTTGATGTGTCGCATGAGGGCGTTGGTACAAGAAGAATCTAACCACTTCTCCGGGAGTACCCGGAACATGTCCGGATGTGGCCAACGTGGTCCTGAGTACTTAATATAACCACCAATGATCTTATTTTTGAATTCTGATGTAATTTGAGGTGCGTATGAGGGTGTTGGTTCGAGAAAATACTGACCGGGGGTACCCAGAACATGTCCGGATGCGGCCAACAGTTTTTCTGACTACTTACTTACTACCTTTGATGATTATTTGGTTCACGTTTTGAAGTTTCTGGTTAATTCAAAATTACAAAAAATACATCTGAAAACATTGAGCACTTCTCAGGTTCAGGCTCAACCGCACCGCGTTTTTTCAAAATGTAGAAAAAACGAGTTTTAGTACAATGCCGCTTTTGCCGCAACGCGCTCATTATGGGTTGTCAAACGGATTTCAGTGTATTGGAAAATATGCGCTTGCCGCTATGCCGCTATCATTGTGTTCAGCCCTTCACAAATTACCCATTTTTAACCTTCGGCTCAATCGCATTTAGTTTTATGCTTCATTCAAATGTATATCGCTAAACCGGGAAAATTTCGAAAATTCCGGGAAATTGCTAATCGAGATTTGCTGGTCACCATGAAGATGGAGGAGATGAAGGACCTCTTCTCGTATCAGTGAGTAAATCGAGGTAAGCAACGGATCATGAACTAGTTGAAAACTTTAAGCGATTAAGCAAGCCTTTTCTGTAGATTTATATCGAGTTGGTTGCAGTTTCCTTCACACGTCGCTTTCAATCATAGTAACATCCCGTTTACTGCTTGAACTACATACCTGGTGTTTACCACGTTTAAAATGTGTGAATCTTAAAAAAATACGGTTCCTTCCCGTTTTTGACAAACAGCTTTTCTGTCTTTTTTGCATTCCTCCAAACTTAAAGAATCAGATTAATTCTAAATCATGTGTGTTTAAAAGTCACATTATAAATATAAACCTAAGAATGAACCAATTGCATAATATACCTAGGAAAAATTAATGGAAATGCGATTTTCTTCTACCTTCGCCATACAAAAATGTATGGGAAATTGGTAATTTTCGATGCATGATTTAGCATGTCATCAATTATTGCGGCTGCAAATTAATCAAAGAGTTAGTTCCAATGATTATAAATCTCGATTTATGCCAAATTTTAAGCATATCCAATCGGTAGAAGTTCTCAAAATTCACAAAAATCATTGGTTGATCATCGATGATCGCAAAAACTTGCCCAGGAAACGCCTAAATGTATGCATTTCCTATGTGATCCCCATAAAGAACGGTTCACATATCAATGAAAATTATATGCTAGCAAATGTGTGTCTTCAGCAAACTTTATAGAAAAGCCGGGTCGTTTGTAAGTTCTCCGAAATAATTTTAAGGTTGTTAAAACTTCTTTGAATTTGCCCCCAAATTTGGTGGGCTTTTGTTGTCGTGCGGTTAGCAGCGTCACCCATCGATCAGTCGTATTTTAAGAAGCACGAAAACGTCTCATCTAATCGAAATGACGTCTGAAACAAAGGTGCACGGCGAATGAGAACGACTCAAATTTGAGTTTAGTTCACTCATAATCGCCAAAAGTGCAGGAACCTCAGCGATGAGTTAATTTGTCTCATGTTTTCCCAGGTTTTTCCAGGATTTTCCAGGGAAAAATTCCCGAATTTGAGAAAAGTAAAGATTGGATTCACTCAGTCTATTGGTACTACTCCGAGACTGAATAAAATTTTCGTCAATTTCCTCATTTTCCGGCAGATTTTTTAGGTTTTCCACAGGAAACCATGGGACAAATTTTACTCATCGCTGGGTTCCTGCACTTTTGGCGATTATGATTTAAAAAAAGAAGTAGGGTAGACGTACCAGTTATGGCTATACGTTCCCATTATGGTGTGTTCCAAATATGGCCTATGGAATTCCATAGGCCATAATTGGAACACACCATAATGGGAACGTATAGCCATAACTGGTACGTCTACCCTATACAATTTAAGTTAAATTTGTAGCATTACACTTCAAGTGACTTGACTTACAGAAACAGCAGCCTAGTGCCGGCGATAGCCGTTATCATCGTTCTGCGGTAAAAGATCAATGTTATTCCTACCACGCTGCTTCGGGGTTTCCCAGACTCTCACCAAACATGCAATTTGTTATTCCCTCTCAAATCTAACGCATTTTTCCCCTCATCCCACTCGGGTCCAATTTTGCAATCTCCCCTCCCGCCTTTGGACCATTCTACACCGGATCTGCCCGGTTATCTTCTCTAGGCAACGCAACACGCTGTTTGCGTCAACGGATTACCACCCGTTCGGACCAGGTAGTCGGCTAGGAACGACGATGGATACGGAGCACGGTGGCGATCCCATGGGTATGATCCCCGGAGGTGTCCTGGTCGTCGAGGAGGAAGGCGATGAAGCGGTCGAGCTGCCGCTGGAGGACGACGGTACCCTGTCGCTGTCGACGCTGCAGGCCCAGTTCTACGGTGCCTGTGGGCTCAAGTACCGGAATCCGGACAATAAGGCCATCCGCGGGGTGCGGTTGAACGATAACAAGTTGCACCCGTTCTCGCCGGAGCAGGGCTGGGGTAACCACATCTACATCTGTGTGTTCCCCAAGGAGAACAAACGCAAGAGCGATGACAAGCTGGAGAATTCCACGCCCAAGACCAAGCGCATCGAGAACCGTAACCGGACGACGACGGATTTGATCGTACTGGGATTGCCTTGGAAGACGACCGAAGAAGGTCTACGTGAGTACTTTGATACGTTCGGAGATCTGCTGGTGGTACAGATCAAGAAGGATCCCAAAACGGGACAATCCAAGGGCTACGGATTCATTCGGTTCGCCAAATTTGAGTCGCAGATGAAAGCACTGTCCAAGAGACATCTCATCGATGGTCGTTGGTGCGATGTGAAGGTTCCGAGTAGCAAGGACCAGATGCAGCACCAGATGCCGAGCAAGATTTTCTTGGGTCGCGTGACGGAGGAAATGACCTCGGACGACATCCGGGAGTACTTCAGCAAGTACGGAGAAGTTACGGATGTGTTCATTCCGAAGCCGTTCCGAGCGTTCGCTTTTGTAACGTTTATTGATCCACATGTGGCGCAGAGCCTGTGCGGTGAGGATCACCTGATCAAGGGCGCGTCCGTTTACGTATCGACGGCTTCGCCGCGTCCGGAACACAATCGTAACCAGCAGAAGAACCAGATGGGAGGAAACTTTTCTAACTACGATGAGCGTGGGCGCGGCGGAGGATCTTCCGGATCGGATTACGGAAGCCAGCAGTCTCATTCGAACATGAATTCGAACTATCACCACGGAGGTGGAGGTGGTGGCGGAGTCGGTGGTGGCGGCGGCGGCGGCGGTGGATACAACAATCTGCCGCAGAACCAACCGATCTGGAACTACAACGAGTACTCGCAGCAGAATCGTCAGAACAACAGCAACATTGACAGTATGCCCAACCTACAGGCGCTGGGTTTAAACTCGACGGGCCCTGGCCCGAACGGAGGTGGCCAGGGAAACGCAGCGGGTCTTCATGGGGGTCATCACGGGTCGGCAGCGGGGATGGGTGGGAATCATCTGAGTGGGGGTGGAGCATCGAGCGGAGCGGCGGGAGCTGGTGGCAATAGCGGTGCCCCCGGTGTCATCGGGAACCATGGTGGTCCAACCGGAGGGAACATGAACCTCAATCAGATGCCGATCAATCCGGCCATCATCGCCGCTGCCCTCAGTCAGTGGAGCCTAATTGGAAACCAGATGCATAACAATCCGCAGGGATCGGGTGGCCCCGGAGGACCGGGCGCACCGGGACAAAGTGGCAGCGGTGCCGGGCCGGGCAATCCGGCTGGACCGGGTTCGGGCGGTCCCGGCTCCGGACAGGAGTATCTACCGTGGAACGGATCAGGTAATGGAAATGCCGCTGCCGGAGGTCCTACCGGAAGAGGAGAACAGAATCGACCATAGACACTGACCGGTTTTCCTCTTCGGCTTTGTAGTAGTTGAAAAGAAACGCTTACACATTTATCCCCTAGTAGAAAAAAAACTCACAGAACCATACACACCCACACTTTAACAGTTTGATTACATTTCACACTCACCCAATACACAGACAAACACACACACACACACACAGGGAGATAGTTGAGAACGAAGGGACTTTCTTGATTTTCTTGAAAATGAGGAAAATGTTTTAACTTAATCCTAACTCTAGAACAAAATGAAAGAGATACAGTATAAGCTAAGAAAGCGAGAAAGAGAGAGAGAGCGAGAGTAAGAGAGAAAGAGCGAGAGATAGAGGACGCGTTGCATCTCCCTTCGGATTGTTTTTTTTTTTCGTTCGATGCGAGAGCAAATAGAAGTGCTAGCTTTTAAGTGGATGAAAGTGGATCACAAGAATAAGGATTGTTCCTTTTATTTTCTCAAGCCCCGCCTTCCTTTTAACCCAATTTCGGTTTTAAGTTTTAACTCACATATGCGCGCATGTAGTTTTTTTTTTATAAGAGTTTGGTTCCTGAGATTGAGAGTAAAATATACCTTTACGAAACCGAAGAAAGCAGAAAGAGAGATAGAGAGAGAGATTTGTTACGAAGAATTTATATTTAATCGGTGTGTTTGAGGGTTCGATTCCGCTGGTCGTGCGGTTGTTAAAGAAACTCTTCTTTACCGACCCGCTCGCGGCGAGGGATGGCAACACGGTTTTCTATTCGGTTTGATTTTCGTTTTGGATATAGGCTTCTTCAGTCGTCAGCAATGCAGGAGAAGAGAGAACGTGCGGAAGAGAGAGCTCATTCAGGGCCCCAGTGCTGCCGGTATAGCAGCTAAGAAAAATCCTCGCTTTGAGTTTTCGCGGCAGCAGCAGCGGGCGATGGTCGCTGCTAGCTGGTATGGGCAGGATCGTGCAGTTTGTGTTACCGACGAGCTTCGACCGTTGCTAAGCTATGGTGGCACCTGTAGCAGCAGCTGTTGCAGCACTACCACCAACAGCAGCACTACCACCGCCAGCACCAGCAGCAGCGGCACCATCGACGCCGGTGGCATTCATGAGAACTAATGCGAGCGGTGTTCATTGCAGGCGATAAAGTAGATCCTCTACTGCGAGTAAATTATCTTTAACCAATAAATATGAACATAATTTCGGATTGATTGTTGTGAGCGTTTGTTTTTTTTTTGTTTTTTTGGAGTGTTTCGTTTGAATTATTTTATCTGATAAAAAAAGAAAGTTTCTTATTTTGCAAGAAAGTAGAGAGGAAAACCGCACGGGAGAATTTTCGCTATGAGGAGCGCAGTGAAAGCTATATTTGAATTACTAGACAAACATGCAAACTACTTTTCGCAGTAGGACTTAAGCAAGGAAATCGAATTAAATTCACGATGAATACTACTATATGCTATTGATTATAACAATTGAAATGAGAGAAAAATTACAAACTATATTATAAAAATGGAAATAAATGGTAAAAAGCAGAGAATGCATTCAGTTAATGATTACGATGATGAAGAAGATAAAGCTGGTGGTGTACGATGGAGTATGATTATTATTATTATTATTACTACTACTACCATATATTCTGCTAGTGTTACGCATGATGAAAACAACAATATGTACGCAAGTAAGCAAGCGCAAGATTTATGAATGAGTTTCGCTAACAAAACATGAAAAATAGCAATTTGTAATAGGATTGTGAGTGTGCATTTCCCCCTCTATTGTAGAAGAGCGCATGCGCAAGTACGGCTGCGTCACTACCACCCTTTCCCTCCCCCCAGCAATTAGAGAGCAAGAGAGAAGTGAATTTCGAGAAGAATACCTATGATCAAAAGTGGAGAGTAAAAATGAAGAAAATTAAACAAAAAACACGTATAAAAATTAATCGATCTTGTTTGTTTTAGTGTGTTGCGATTGGTTTTCGTTGTTGATTAATTCGAGGAAGAAAAGAAATGCCGGTTCAAGAGATGAAGGTGGAATGCGAAAAGCGAAGAGATTTGTGATGTGCAGCAATGACAATTTTCAGTATGTTCTGGTTTGAAAGTATTCTGCTGTCGAGAGCAGTGTTGGCAAAATCAGCAATCAAATGATATTTTTCCGCTCTCATACGCTCTCAAGATCCCGCGTGATTGATTTTACAAGCTCCTTCGAGATTGAGCGACTATTCACTACATGTGAAAATTAAGCTGAGGAGAGTTGACTTGACACAAAAATGATTCCGTTTCACATCGTTTTCTTAGAAAGAGAAAGTGTGGTTTGCTATCCCTCTTTATCCTTTACCGATGGCAGACACGAAACTACTGCTGACAGCAGTGGCATCTACTTTGTCAAAATTACTGATCTTCTTTTAGTGTTCGTGTACTTCAATTTCAATTCCAATTTACAGAGCCTTCCCTATTTTGGCCTCACATATTGTTTGTTGTATAATCAGATATATCAAATGCTAAATTCAATTTGTGACTATACTTGAACATTCTGATATCTAAGAGTCGAATAGTATACTACGAACATATGTCTATTTATCATTAGTCCAAAATTGAGGAAATTAGTAGGAAATGAAGTCGTGTTGCAAAAAAATGGGAAGGCACTGTGTTACAAATTGTTTTGATGCACGCATATGTTTACCACGTACAGCATTTCTCAATCTATGGATCATGATCCACCGGTGACCCATAATTTTGTGTCTACCTTACTATTCTGAACAGGGCTGGCAAATGTCATTTTCAATAAAAGATCTCGAGCGATATTTACAGAGATACTACCATAGAGGTAACTCTAAGACCAGAAGGTCCCGAAGAAACGTGCTCAACTTTTTGGCTCAGCTCTGGTACTTTCTTCGGTCCCAAGCTAATCGATGCACCCCTCTAAACATAGGAAAATCCACGAACCCCTCATTTTATCTGCCAAACTTTCATAGCGAAGCAAAACAAACATAGTGTAGTACTGGAATTTATACTAGAATGGGGTACGTTAATCGATTTGCTTGGGACCAATAGGCTAGTCAATTTTAAATCGTTAGTTTCGTATTGATTGTTGGTACTACTGTCACTATCATCGAATGAGAAAACGATGATAGAGAATCTCTTCAAAATCTCATAGAATTTTTTGTCATGACAGAACTCGACAGTGTTGTGATCATCGTAATTACTAGATCATTTATTGCTATTAAAGTTACTTGTACCGGGCAAATATTAAGAATATATTCACTTTACCGATTACATACGGTTGGTTGCTTAAATTCATCTAAAGCAGTTAGAAATGCTGATGTCAAAACCGCATATAAATTATTCTCATGAGTGCTTGATCTTTGGAAAAATTATAGCAAATGATAGGTAGTTTCGTCTCGTGATAGTGAGAGGACCTGTTTTCTCATTGTCACATGACGGGCGTGATATTTACCAGCTCTGATTCTGAATATAAGTCCATTTTGACCTTTCTAAGGCCGGTTTTAGGGTCATCTTGCCGTTGACTACTACTGCAAACTTCAAACTGTTTTTCGCGTTTTGGCATGTTTTGGATACATTCAGTGCTAACATTTGAAAACGGCACAAAAGCCATTTGTAAACAAATGGTTTGTGGGCCCTTTACTCACTACTTGAAGTACACCCACGCGACACAACAGCAACATCGGGTAGGGGAAATTTTCCCCTTCCTGACGATGCTGTTGGTTTGCGTGGGCGTTCTTCGGGTAGCGAGTAAAGGGCCCACAAACCATTTGTTTACAAATGGCTTTTGCGCCGTTTTCAAATGTTAGCACTGCATTGGCCTTTTCTTGACGTTGAACTATGTGCGTCTTTGTGGAATATACACTCAAAAAATTTCACACGTCTGATCGAAGTGTGCACTTGATTTTTCATATGCACAATCGCCTTTATTTTAAGTGTATTTCACCATGGTTCAATGTGTTCTACACGTTGATTTCTAGTGTTTCAAACTTTGAAATGTTGATAATCATTCTCTGTCAATTTGATTGATTTGAAGTGTTTTCATTTCAATGCTATGTGAATTGCTTGTTCTGCAAGGTAAACATCGAAAACATGAGTGTTGTGACTTCATCTTTATCAATCAGCCTCGTATATAAGAACAACCGTGACCCAGTGAGATCGAACGAAGACAATGGCAGCAGCACACGACCCCAAAAGTCCAGGATCAATTTCCAAATTAATTCCAAATTATATTATATATTTGTCGATTCAATTTTGGAGGCGGTAAAGTAGAAGTCGATAAAGTAGAATATTGTAGAACATTGAACTATGATGTGCAAAGCTATTGATATCGCCGTGTGAGGCACATAGACTCCAAGTGTGTCACAATTCGAACCAATAGTGTTTAGGCATGGTTCACAGCATAAGATTCACACATGAAATGGATGTGTTACACAATAAGTGTAAAATTAAGTGTGATACACTGGTGAGCAAATCAAAAATCTCATGAAGAGATAGTGTCAGGTTGTGAACGCTTATAACTTGGCCATTTATGGATGAATTCTTATTGTCAGAGGCACTGATGAAGTATACAGTAGACGATCAAAATATAAGGAATTTATAACGGAATTAAAAGGAAATTAAACAACACGCTCAAAAAGAGATTCCGTTAAGAGGTTCGACAAAATTAAAAGAATTACTTATCAATAGTAAACTATTGTAAACTTATTAAACTTCTTTCCCAAAATCAACCAATAACGGGCTTGCTTGCCAAGACTATCGAGTGAAGACAGACGAGTAGATAGCGAATCCCTGATACGGACATCAGTTAAGATACCAAAACTAGCAAACAGGGTTACTTCCACTCACTTGCTATAAAAAATGTTTTGCGGAATCATGAAATCATGACATGGTATAATGATAATAAGTATTTGTATGCTTCAAGAAAAGGTTGTAAAGTACGTGTTTGACACATCAAATCTGTCAAACTTGCTTTTAGTGCGTCGCAATAAGCGATTTTACGACTCGTGAGCGCTCACTCTGAGTGAACGCTCACGAATCATAAGATCGCTGATTGTGACGCCCAGAAAACGAAATTGACAGGTTTTATGAATCAAACACATACTTTACACGCTCTTCTTATAACTATTACAAGTACAACATATCATTATATCATCTAATGATTGCATAATTCCGAAAAATATTTTTTTATAGCAAGTGAGTGGAAGCAACCCTGCTAGCAAATTCAACCATTGATCAAATTTCAAATGAGCCTGGAATGCCAAACTGTGTATAAATTGCACGGACCTGAAATTATTCGTTCAATCTCTCGCAGATTATCGATGAACAGTTCAGTACATAATTTTATCACACCACGGCGCTAGTGTGCCACTTGACTTTCAGTTGCTTGCTTAACTAGACTTCTCAAATAGATAGAAAGGTTGCTGTCTTTAGCATTGCCTTGGAAGACGACCGAAGAAGGTCTACGTGAGTACTTTGATACGTTCGGAGATCTGCTGGTGGTACAGATCAAGAAGATTGGACTACGGATTCATTTGGTTCACCAAATTTGAGTCGCAGATGAAAGCACTGTCCAAGAGACATCTCATCGATGGTCGTTGGTGCGATGTGAAGGTTCCGAGTAGCAAGGACCAGATGCCGAGCAAAATCTTCTTGGGTCGCGTGACGGAGGAAATGACCTCGGGCGACATCCGGGAGTACTTCAGCAAGTACGGAGAAGTTACGGATGTGTTCATTCCGAAGCCGTTCCGAGCGTTCGCTTTTGTAACGTTTATTGGTCCACATGTGGCGCAGAGCCTGTGCGGTGAGAATCACCTGATCAAGGGAGACTTCTCGTATTGCTGTATCTAGCAAAGTTGTTCAGATAGACAAGATCTACTGGCTGGTGAACAATTCAGTTGCGAATTTCACCAACACGCGACGCTAGAGCTTCTTGTTGCTTCCTGATGAATGTGGGCGAAACCTGGGTAAAGCGAGAGAGAGAGAGAGAGAGAGAAGGATTAGTCATTTCTGTTTAATTCCACTACCTTATTTGCTTATCCATGACAGACACGCGTATTTCGTCTACAATATGCAGACTTCTTCAGTGTCTTGTACAAGACACTGAAGAAGTCTGCACATTGTAGACGAAATACGCGTATCTGTCAAGGATAAGCAAATAAGGTAGTGGAATTAAATGGAAATTACTGATCCTTCTCTCTCTATCTTTACTATAGTTGCTTGCTTAACTTGACTGCTCGACTAGTAAGAACGTTGCTATTTTCTGCCAATTTGTTCAGATAAACTTGACCTACTGGATGGTGGACAATTCGGGTCAGAATTCCACCATCACGTGGCACTAGTGCACACTTGGAAATTACTACCGACTTCGGTAATCATTTCAAAAGCTGTTCCACTAAATTTTAATTTCAAAACACCGTCAGCCTTATTTAAATAATCGAGACTTGCCATTGTGGTGATGTTTTTCTTAAGCCTAAAAACTAATGATTTAAAATGCCTGATTTTTACCAAACAGTTCAGCTTTTGAATGTTTGGTAAAAATTACCGAAGTCGGTAATAATTCCTAAGTGTGTGCGTCACTTATCTTCAAGTTGTTTGCCTAACTGGACTGGAGAAGGTTGCTGTCGTCAGCCAAGTTATTCAGATGGACAAGTCTTATTGGATGTGGGAGAGTTCAGTTCAGGATTCCACCAATACCTGGCGCTAGTGTACAATTTACTTTCAATTTGCTTGCCTTACTTAAAACTAGACAAAAAATTGCTATCTTCAGCAACGTTAGGGCCTCCCAGAGCTCAGCCGGTAAAGGCGCAGCTACGAAGCAAGACCATGCTGTAGGTGGCTGGGTTCGATTCCCTGTTGAAAACTTCCTCGACTTTCCTGGGCAATCATACACTTGCCACACAATTATACAGGCACCGAAAGCTCTCAATTAATAACTGTGGAATTGCATCTAGAACATTAAGTTGAGAGAACGTAATAAGCTAATATGGGATAAGCAAAAAGCTTGAAATGCGAAGAAGAAAAAGAAGAAGATCTTCAGCAAAGTTATCCTAATGAACAAATCTTATTTGCTGGTGGACTATTCAGTTCTGAATTTCACCACCACGTGGCGCTAGTGTACTATTTATCTGCAAGTTGCTTGCCTATCTTGATTGCTCGAATAGATAGAAGGTTGCTGTCTCCAGATGGACAAGATCCATTGGATGAAATACAGCTCAGTTGAGAATTTCACCACTACGAGGCGCTAGTGTTTCATTTGACCTCTAGTTGCTCGCCTTAACTGGACTTCTCGAATAGATAGAAGGTTGCTGTCTTAAGCAAAGTTTTTCAGATGGACAAGACCTATAGTATTTGTTGTTCGGAATATGTAAAAAATGAGAGACTTACAATGAATCTAATGGTATAAATTGAGGTACCGTCCGGATTTTTCAGAGCTAGGTACTGATGTCTGAAATCTGTGACAGAGAAATCATTTTTTCCCCACCATGATAAATGTGCCCACAAAACGCACGAAATCTAAAATAAAGCAATATTTAGCAGTCTTGCTTTGCTCAATCGGTAGATATTTTTTTCCTAGCGTCCTGAAGAAAACCCTACCTTTAGGTTTTTCTTCAGGATGCCAGAAAAATGGGTGCATAATTCTGCATCTATTTTCTTCGAAATTTGGCAATTAATATCGAATATCTCGCGATCGAGTCTGAGTTCCGGGAAATCCCACCAATCAAACATTTCTTATTTAGCGATTAAACCCAAACCACTAGCATAAAGCTATTTTTCTGAGAAAAAAATGGTTCATTTCCTGCTCGTGTATCCATCATGGAGCATCCCGCATAATTATTCATCATTTCCCATGAAGTTTAACGATTGTTCGATCATTAATTTAATGGTTACCAATACACGATATATTCCATATAAAGTTGACCGACATTACAAAACCGTATATTGACCTTAATGATAGCCATTACCTTTAATATTACATTTCGTGGACCATAGAAAACAAGTTTTATTAAAGTTCTCGTTCTGAAATTTTTGAATGCTAATAGAACCATTATGTTTAGTTAAAAAAAAAGATTCACTCGAAGTTCATATCCTAATCTGTGGAAGATAAAACTTTTTTGGTTAAGTCAAGTTATGGTTCATGATTATGCGGGATACGAAAGCAATATTGATTTCCCTCTCACAGACTTCAAACCGGAGTAGCTGGTACTGAAAAGGTTGCCGGCGAGGTTGCCGGTACCCTTCTTTGAGCATTTAGATTCACATTGTTTGCCTAGATTGCTTGCTAAGCCCCGCCCAATAGAAATGTCATACCTTTCTTTGTTTAGGGTGGGGCTTAGTAAGCGATATTTGTGTTAAGATTGCTTAAAAGGCGGGGCAATATTGTTCAGTGGCAGCTGTTCTATTTTGAAGTCTGTGACAGGGAAATCACATTTTCCTGCAAGCATGAAACGTCTTACTTTCTTATGCTGGATGATGGACGTTACGGGATGTAAGACCTACCATATCGAGGCCCGAAGCTCTTCTTGTTGACGGCTGTGAACCTCGATTTTGAGATTGAATACAAGAGAAAATTCGGACCAGGGTTCCGATGCATGGTCAAATATCAGTATCATCACTTGTTTTTCTCACTTTGAAGACCTATTTCGATTGCTGAGTACTTGCATATTTGAAGAGATCCCAGAATGATGCCGAACATCTCAATTGAATGAGGATTCATGTAAGACCTATTTTGATTGATGAGAGGGCGTCGAATATTGTAAAACATCACAATTAAATGAAGCTTCTTGTGAGAAGAGCAAGTATGTATGTTTTACCTGTATCGAAAATGAATATCTTATTACTTTTCCATAGTAATCAGGTACTACGACATGAACTAAACAAAGGGCACGGACATATCCCAAAAGATCAATGCATTGGTCGCAGTCAGTACGACCCGATCAGAGGGCAAACAAAGCCTGGTTTCAAAATAGCCAGAGTTTTCTCTAAGAGTCATTTTGGCATTATTAAGATCTTATTACCGCCAACATGACTCTAGAACGCCAACACAGGCCTTAAAACGCTGAAATGGCTAAATAATTTGTTTAAAATCACCAGAATAGCATTAATAACAAAATGGCTAAGAAGTCAAAATGACCTCCAAAAGGGCTAAAATAGCATTGAACTCTACAAAAATGGCAAGCATTGCATTTTAAAAATGACTTGACGCAATGACATTGTGAAAAATGAATGCTAAAATGATAAAAAGCTATAACATGGCTAAACAATATCAAAGATAAGGAAGTGGTCAGATTAGTTGTCTATTCAATTTCAGGTTCGCTAGCATGGACTAACGTAGCGCTTTCAACTGTTTCAATTGTTGTTTCTCGTAACGGATTGCTACGCTTATTCTCAAATTCAATTGAAAATATGGATCATCTTCAATAGTCATTTAACTGAGTGTAACCTACGACCAAATTGGAGCTCTGGTCGACATTTCAACAAAATACCCATGCCAACTCGACATTAGTCCGACACTACTTCAATTCAGTAATTCAAAAAAATAGCAGCACCGCAATCGCATTATTGTCGATCAAAACAAAATCGTAGTTAAGTTCTAGAAACGCTTAGAAAAAAATCTATACAGTGTCAGTGATAAAGAAATTTCCTGTCAGTTGACTGCACATCACATCCTCTCACTGCCTTCCCCATTTGCATAGTGGAAGATTCTTCCTGCCCTGATAAAGTGTAACCCATTGATTCTTATAGTGTGAATAAATATCTCCCCCCCTCCCCGTCTGCTTGGTTGGTATGTGTTGCTCCGCCCTTCCCCCTCCGCTCAAACCACCCCACCGCATTCTTCGCGCATTCCCGGTTTCTTTTCAAGTACTCAGGCACCCCGCCGTGAGTGCCTGCCTCCTCATATGTGATGCGATGTGATGAGAACCAACGCGAACAAGTGAACGATGATTATGATGTTGATGATAATGATGATGATGATGATGATGCGCGCTAGTGATGTGATATACTGATGATGATGATGATGACTACCTGCGATGCGATGAGCGAACATGAGCGATGAGATACTGCGAGGGATGAACGAACGTATTTATGCGCGTTAAAAGTGGATGGAGTGTGTTGATTTTTGGACGAGCGAGATGTAAGTAAATGCTAGAGCAAAAACTTAACCAAAGTACACTTTTTTAACAATTATTCTTATAGTTTTCTTAACTTTCCCCTTCCGGTGTGCAAACTTTTCTTCTGAATTCCCTTCCTCCCTTTTGTATCACGGCAAATTAAATCCGAGCCGAGTTTGAGTTTTCCTTCTTCTTCTTTTTTTTTTCGTTTTTGAGATCCCAACATATCCGTTCTTGGCTATCCGTGTGTCGCCGCCAACCCCCGAATGAACTTTGCTGGTACGCGCGCGTGCGGTTTGTGGAAAGTCAAGATGGAACAGCAACTACTACCACCACCGCCAAAAGATTGCGAGTGTGAATCTCCTTTGTCGTGTTTGGTTGTGTTGTTGTTGTTGTTGCTTGTGTGCTACAATTGTTTTAGCTTTTAATTTTGTCTTTCAACTTTCGCAATTTGCGGCCCCCTGTACTCAGAATTCAAACCACCCATTTCTCTCCCACTATTTCTGCAGAACGCGGTAGCTCTGGTGACTGGTGGCGCCTCCGGCCTGGGTCGCGCAACGGTGGAACGATTCGCCCGGACTGGAAGTAAGGTGGTGCTGTGCGATCTACCCACGTCCAAGGGCGGTGATGTGGCGAAGGAAATCGGCGACAATGTTATCTTTGTGCCCATTGATGTAAGTGTTAAACTCCAGAAAAGTCTCATTCAATATTCTAACCCACGTTTTAAACCCTTCCAGGTTCTCTCCGAGCAGGACGTCACCGGTGCATTGGATGCCGCCAAAAGCAAATTCGGTCGACTGGATGTCGCCGTCAACTGTGCCGGTATAGCCGTAGCCGTCAAAACCTACAACTTCAACAAAAAGGTGCCACATAAGCTGGAGGATTTCCAAAAGGTCTTGCTGGTCAACACGGTCGGAACGTTCAACGTCATCCGCCTTTCGGCTGGCCTAATGGGTGAGAACGAACCGAATAAGGACGGCCAACGAGGTGTGATTGTAAATACGGCATCGGTGGCCGCATTCGATGGGCAGATTGGCCAGGCTGCGTACGCTGCCTCCAAGGCCGCTGTCGTCGGAATGACCCTTCCTATCGCACGTGACCTTAGCACCCAGGGAATCCGCATCTGCACGATTGCTCCGGGACTGTTCAACACCCCGATGCTGCAGGCACTCCCGGAGAAGGTGCGTGCCTTCCTGGCCAAAACGGTTCCCTTCCCGCAGCGTCTTGGAGAACCGTCCGAGTATGCCCAGCTGGTGGAATCGATCGTCGAGAATCCCTTACTCAATGGCGAGGTGATCCGACTGGATGGTGCCTTGAGAATGATGCCTTAGAAAACCAGTGAAGGTACAAATCTTCCACCTTCCCCGAAACGCAATAAGACGGATAGATGCATTTATTAGGTCCTAAGATTACACCTGTGCCAATGCTTGGCGCGGTTAATTTTTTTTCCTAACTGCTAAGCAGCTGTTGTTTGCCTGTCGTAGCTATTCATAGTGGAATAAAGTTTTTTGCTCAGGAGTGCATTTTGTTAACCCTCTGGTGCGTTCTGTTTGAGATGGCTTGTCAAGAGTGAACATTTCCCAGCATCCGAAAAGAGTCCCTCCAATCGCGAAATCTCTCAACGCTTCAAGTATGAAGGTAAGTGCAACTGAACTTGGAATTTAGAGGGTAACCATACATTATTTGAGGCCTACTTAAAAATCCAAATGGTTGCTGAACAGTAAACCATATTTTGTAACGTCGCATCAAAAACTGTGCACATCATCAGTGCCGAAAAATTCGTGTAATTGTGGGTGACGAAACCGTCTCTGGCTGATAAGTAAATTGGCATTCTTTGTTAGAAGATCCTTATTTACTACGAGTGACGCTAATCTAAACTGTAAACCATAAATCAGTGAAGGAAAATTCTACTTCTCGGTCACTTTCATAAATCGATCAGCAACGAACTACCGAGCAGACCATTATGCATGAAGTACTACACTGGACGATTATTACCGTGAAGTATTTCTATGGTCGATTTTTATCAATATGTACTTAGTAATTTTATGAGAGATGAAAACTATGCCTAAGTAATGTGCAGTTAAATGATGATTCAGTATTGGCCCTTATTACGGGTGTCACTTCACGGTGAAAACGAAGTGAAGTGACCAGTTGTCACTCACGGTGAAGTGATTGCCATGTAAATCAAATGGGAATCACTTCACCGTGAGTGACAAGTTATCACTTCACCGTGAAGTGACATCGGTAATAAGGGCCAGAACTTATATAGGGGAAAAGGATGTAATGTCGCACTAAATGCCCCTAATTTGGGGCCCATACATAAATTCAGCAATCGACTAAATTGTCAATAGCGACCAAAAATATCCATTACTACCGTCCCAATGACGCGTTCATCTAGATAAAATTGACAAAAGCAGATTTTTAGCGATTGGCCCAATCTTAGATCCATTAGCCAACATTAGAGCCAATTCCTCCTTGGTTCAAGTTTGAGAGTACATACGAACGTCTTTATTCTTTGAAGTTTGGATTGGGAATAACAGTGGTGTCTCGAGTGAAAAAAAAACAATAGTACCTTACAAACTAGATTGCTTAGAGTGAATAACGGTTGTGCCGGGTTGCTCCGTCTTCACTCCTTCTCAATCGTTTAGTCCGAGGGCACGTCGCAGCTCTTGGAAACGGGCTCGATTTGCAATCGTCCTGCTTCCACATGGTCACGGATAAATGATGTTTCATATCGATATGCTTGCAGCGATTGTCCTCGTAGATAATTACCGATTTCACGGTTATCTTCAGGCCTTCGAGGATGCCAGCCGTTTGCTTCTTGCTCGACCATGACACGGTTGCTCCGAAGACCTTGAACAAGAAGCCGCTAACGGATTTTCGGTCCTCGGTATCCGCTGCCCAGTCTACGCTCACCAGCGGTTCTGCAGCTTCGTCGCGACTGTACTGCCCAGCGTCCCTTGCAGGTAGCGTGCGATCTGCTTAAATGTCTGCCAGTGCTGATCGGCCGGATTCTGCTGAGAACATCCCATATAGCTTACCGGATAGCAAATGTCCGGGCGCACACACAACATGGTGTACATCATGCTTCCCAACTGCTCTCCGTACGGTTCCTTCGTCGCTGGTCCGTCATGCTTCAGGTGGAGCCCTACATCGGAGTTATGCACGGGTTGCAGTTGACTATTCCGAATCGCTGCAGGATCTTCATTACTTGGGCTTCTTACGAAAGTTGAAGCGTTCCTTCCTCTCGGTTGTACATCAGCTTCATGCCCAGGAAGTAGTTTACCTCGCCGCAGTCGGTCATCTTGAACACGGCAGAGAGTTCCTTCTTGAGTTCCTATTGATCTTTGGAAGGAAGCTGCCTTCGATCTTGCGGCTGGTGTGCATCTCGTATACAAGCAGTAGTCGGGGCATTACCGGGTGAATCGCATCTTGAGCAACTGTCCATTCAGCCGCTCATTCCAGCAGCTGGGAGACTGCTTTAATCCGTACAGGGACTTCTGTAGCTTGCACACCATGCCTTGATCAGCTTCTACGCCGTTCGTTACCGCCATATAGATGTCTTCCTTTAGGTCACCATGAAGAAACGCCGTCTTGACGTCCATCTGGTGGAACAGGAATCGATGGTGCATTCCGACAGCTAGAACAGTACGGATGCTGATCAACTTCGGGACGGCAGCGTAGGTTTCTTCATCGATGCCCTGACGCTGCAGGTACCCGTTCACCACCAAACGAGTCTTGTAGCGCACCTCCTCACCGTTGCCGTCCTGCTTCACACGAAACACCCATTTCGACTGCGGCAACGTTGTAGCTTCCATACTTGGTTCGTCTCCATCGAATCCAGTTACTCTCGAATGGCCTTCATGACCGATGCGTACGGTCGTCTCGGTCCTCGATATCGGTGTAGCAGTTGGAGACATCTGTAATGCACTGACCGGCAGAAACAGCATTGAGAAACTTATCAGGGAGCTTGCGCTCCCTTTCGCTGCGCCTCGTTCGTTGGAAGGGAGCGCCCCCGTTTTTGGTGGTGTCTACAGTCTCGTCAGTTGCGTCGTGATCTTGATCAACATCCGGTTCGATTTCCTCAGAACGGATGGGAGCGCCAACCTCAGCGTCGTGATCACCTTGGAGGAAAATACACGACCGGTGGGAAATCCTTCTTCTCGGGACACTTCTGGTACCGAAAGCAGGATTACTAGCACTTCACCTCACAAGCAATGATAATCTTCTAGTTTGGAGCATAGCCAACAATCACAGTCTCCTGGCTCCTCGCTTCAAGCTTCTTGCGCTGCTTATCGGGTTCCGATTGATGCGATACAAGGCGGTAAGGACAACTTCGGGCCACATTACCTTGGGGACGCTTGACTCGATCAGCATAGTGCGGACCTTTTCGGTTAAACCTTTCCGCAACGCCATTCTGCTGTGGCGTGTATGCTACCGACGGTTCGATATGGATGCCCTTTCTAGAATAGAAATCTGCGCATTTGAACCATACTCACGTCCTTGGTCCACCGTCAATCTTGAAATCTTCAAGCCAAACTTCGCCGTCGCCATGCCCTCATATTCCTGGAACATGCTGAAGTCCTCGGACTTCCTCCGCATCATGTACAGCACCGAAAAGTGGGTATGGTCATCGATGAAGCTCACTATGTATCGGGATCCGTCCCAAGCAGGGGGGTCGATAGGACCACGCACGTCCGAGTGGATCCTTTCCAAAGGCCTGGTCGCTCGATCACGAGTTCCGCTGAAAGGGTCGCGACATTGCTTCCCTTGCACACAAGCGTTGCAGAAGCTCAGCTTGCACCAGTTACCAGGTTGTTCGATGCCATCGCCTTCATTCCTTGCTCGCTCAAGTTTCCGAGCCGCCGGTGCCAGAGCTCATCTGTCTCCGCCTTGCACAAGTTCGCGGGTCAATCTCCAGCTCGTAGATGCCACGTCTTAGCTGTGGAGTGGCGATAATTTCCCCGTATTTCTTCAACATTGCAATCTTGCCGACGAAGTTCACCTGCACGCCGGCCGTGACGAGCTTCTTCACGGACATCACATTTTCGTTCAACTCCGGGATGTACTACACTCCCTTAATGTGGAACGGGAACTATTGCAAGATTAGATTATCCTTCCTTTGCCACGTTGATCACGATCGGCTGCTTCAGACCACCGAAAACGCTCCGCTATCGTTGAAGATTAGATGTAAATCATCTGTTGGTGGTGTGCCCGGCTCGAGCACAATTGAGGGAAGAAATGGGTGTCGTTGGTTCAATCCGTGAAGTATTGTACAACGGCAGGAGTACAGAACAGACTGTACTCAATTTCTTGCGGGCGGTTGACTTATACGATATGATATAAGCATAAGTAGGTTGAAGTGGCATTAGAAAGAAAATGACTTGTATAGTCACTTCACTTCTTTTTGACAAGAGGGCAGTCTTGATAGTCCTAAAGACAATGGTGTGTAAGGGTAAGCGATAACGGGGAGTTATTGATGCTCGGAATGGTTGATGCCTTATGCCGTCTCGAATGAACTTAATTCTCCTCTACCAGGGGAACAGTTTAAAGAGACGTTAATAAATTTAAGCACAGCTATCGTTGATGAGGTGCTCACTGGATGCCGCGTCGAGCTTGAACACGAGTTTGTCACTCTTATTCTTGACGTTGCTCCGGTTCACCACAAAACTTACCGCTTTTCGCTGATTGGCCGCCGACCTTCTGAAGGGTTTCTTCGTTTTGTCACCGGAAAAAGCGGCCTCTTTAGCCTCGCCAACTTCTCCATTTTGCTCTTGACGCTTCATGTCTTCAGTCAACAACCGCTGCTTAATGACTTCGATTTTCATATCTTCGTTTTCCAGAGCGGTTACCAGAGGGTCGTAGAAATCTGGCAGCGTGGAACAGCAACACCACCAGGTCAGTTTCGTCTACCTTTGCCCAAGCTGTTTTCATCTGTCGGACCAAGTCATCAAACCGGCAGTAGATGTGGCCTCATCTGATCACCTTCCTTCAGCTTCCGGATCAGGTGCTGCGATCCAATAGACTTGGTAGCGAATGTCGCTTCGAGGACTGTCCACATTTCCTTGGGTGTCGATTTCTCCCGGATGACCTCCGACCATTCGTTGGTCAGGAAGCTTATGATCAACACCTTCGCCTTCGCCGCTTATGGTGCGTTCTTCGTCAGATTATTCAGGATACCGACCGAATTCAAGTGCATCTTGACCCTGAAGCTCCAGTGCTGGGAATCCGGCCCGCCTTTGAACTGCGGAATTTCGTCAGCAGTATTCGCCGTGGTACTTGGAAACTTATTTACGGATGTCACATCACGGTGAAAACTTGTCACTTGTCATCACGGTGAAGTGATTCCCATTTGATTTAAACGGCAATCACTGCTCTTATTCTGAGTATCACTTCCTTATCATCGTGTAATGACACCCGTAATAAGGCCCTTGGTTTCAAGTATGAGAGAAATAACGGGCTCATTCTTCGCTAAAGGGCCACCCGCATTAGATCCGTTTGCGTTGCGTTGACGTAAAATTGACAGTTAGAT